AAGCTCATGAATATTAAGGATAATCTATGCATTGTATTTTTTCGGTACAACATACAATGATGTCAATCATAGTATGTTAGTTATAATCTGATTAAACACTCGAAATAAATCGTAGAAATCATGATTAAACTATAAAATAATTGAAATGTTTCTCGAAATGGTAGGTTGTTGACGTATCATTGAAAAAAATCACTCATGTTGATATAGTGATCATGGAAAGAAAAACTCAGTAGTGTTTATATAATTTTACAAAAAGGCGATTACGAACTCAGAATATTTCAAATATTGAATTATTTTGTTGAATAAAACATTTTGGACGGATCAACATAGATATCAGTGTAAAAGTTAGGCCTATTTCATATTTCTTCCCGGCACTAGAAATAGATCTAATGAAACACAAAGATTTACCTATTAAACAATTGACCTTGATGTAGTCATTAAAAAAGGTGTTTGTGGAGAATGCTGGGTTCAGACAGAGTTTACATAACCCTCTGAGCTTGGCAAGACAATAACTAACAATTAACGTTTTTAGGTCAGGTGCTTGATTTCAACTTGATCCTCCTATTTGGTACACGCCCTGTATCCAGCCACTAATAGAAATCGTTATGTAGTAACGCAAGCCAAATGAAGCTAGAAAAGTGCACTCTTCTGTTCAAACTCAGTGAACTAAATGTAATACACCACACAAACTTAAGGTTCTGATTTCAGTCGCTGATTTAGTCATGAAGGCAGACCACAAAGAAGTTCCATACAACAACGAAATAGCTGTTCGGTCCTGCAAGGATTTAAATGGTTATCCAGTTCTTTGTAATCCGGACTGCTTTCAAATTATAACCTAGCTGCTTTGATCTGTATTAAAAATATTTCCCTAGTACTTGGATATTTTATTCAATTAGTGGCCTATTGAGATTGACGAATAATGGAAATAAACTGCTTCACTCTGTGATTTGATAGTCTTTTAAGCGATCATTGCTAGTCTGTAACATTTTTTATATTTCATGTGCTGCTGTACTCTAGTTATGAAGAAAATACTTCATACACACAAGGAGTTTATTGATGATGCTCAAATACGTATGACAAGTACTTACTGGATAAGAATGTTATGGTATCAAGATGATCAAGGCATTCTTCAAAACAAAGAGAGGAGCTGATATGGCTTCAGATCACCACTTGGTTGCGGCTGAGATAAAACTGAACCTAAAGAAGCATTGGACAATTCTACATTTACCGTTACAAAAATTTTATATAGATTTGTTCGGGTTGTTACAAAACTCAGTGACAAACAAGCAAATAAAGAGGAGCGTTGGGGCTAATAAACGGGAATGCTCAGAAGATCTAGCAATAATAGCAGAAAAAGCTGGAAGGGGATAAACATGAGGGAATTTTACTATACAACAAAGAAGCTAGATGGAAAATATAGAAAACCGGAGAAAGAAATCAAGGAAAAGAAGATAAAGCTATCAATGAGATTCATCAGCAGCGAAATCGGCGGGCAGAGTATTTTGAAGGACTATTGAATAGGTCATTTCCTGTTAAATTCACGGGAGCAACAGAATCTGATTTCCTAAGAGATATTAACTCACTAGACATGATCAAAATCAACAAAGTCATCAAGTAAATCGGGAATAGCAAAGCGGTGGGACCAGACAACGTACCAACAAGCATAAAGATAATTGCAAAGATCCTTCACATTATTTTCAGAAAGGTTTTGAATGAAGAACAAGCACTAAGAGACTGGAAATAAGGATACATTTTCAAGATAGCGAAGAAAGACTTCAACAAGTGTGTGAACTACAGAGGAGTCACAATGCTATTAGTGTCGCGTAAAGTATTCGGTAGTGTCGCTAAATCGAGTGAAAGTTTTGGTAAACACCCAACTTCGAGATCAACAGGTTGACGTACGTAAGGATCGAGCATGTACCGACCAAATAGCAACACTTCAAATCATTATTAAACGACGAATTGAATGGAACTTATAGTCCAGCTCCCTTGACTATGAATAGTCATATGACGACGTGGATAGAAGAACTTTGTGGGACCTTTTTCAGCACTATAGAGTACCTGAGAATATCGTCAGATCCTTAAGTAGCTCACACAAGGAACTGAATCTCAAGATCATTCATTCGCAATACCCTATTTACCAGTATAAGGAGACATTCTATGTTTAACATTTGATTCAACTACGAACTGCTTACAAATTTGTATAAATAATAGTTGTCGCCTAAACCCATTCCCTAACACCATTTTCATTATAGCATGAAATCCATAGTATATCGATATCAGTGGGAAATATATTCACAAACATTATCTCCTCAAAGACAAGAGAAATCTACCTAGCAGTAATTTACTTAAGCAGATAAACAAATTGATAAAATACCAAGGTAGTTGTATTTCGATAAAGAGCTAATTCAACCAAACGAATAGAATGTCTTATGATGAAATTTCAATACTTATACATAATACGTCATTTCATGATTGCATACTTTTCATTAATTATCGTTTTCCATTTTAACAAAGTCTAGTTGACCTATTTTCACTGTTTATAGAAAGAGAGCATTTTGCGCCTTTCACATATTACGAACCACTTTCCAATAAATATGCTGTTTGAATCGATATCGCTGGGTCACCTTTACAACCAGATAAGAAAGGCTTCTAAGAGAGAAAATTCAGATACGATAAAATATAGTTCACTTTATTCATCGATTACATTACATCATAATCCGAGCAAATGAATAATACTAGCACTTTAAATATAGTGATCAAACAAATAAAGGTCGTCGTTCTATACATTATCCTCCATAAGACGTCTAAATTAATTACATGAATCGTCCTACACAAAAACCAAGTGGCATTTTTTTCAAACAATGAATATTACTCTGAAATACCAACTTAACCAAAAGATAGTTTGTAAAGAAGAATATGGAGAGAAATTCTCATTTGCTTACATACATATTCAATTAAACAGTTCGCTTGGTCCTCCTGGTCTAAAGGATTTTTAAATCATAGGCTGGGTTAAATCAAAGGATTAATAAAAAATAAGGTGATAATGAACACCTTTTTAGTTAATGGTCAACCATATCAGAGGTGATGACGTTAGATTAAGTTAGTTATTTATTATAAATGAATTATCCCCATATTTTCCTTTTTTTTCGTTGAATCTTTCGTGGATGGTACAATCCCCGAAAAGTTTAAAACGATAGTGAAAAAACTGTCTACTTCTCATTGGTTATCTGGTTCATTGATGATAGTTTATTACAAGATTATGCATAGATCTAATCACATGTTTTTGTTATTACTTGGAAACAACTAAAATATTTGATGGAGTTGTCATAAAAATCTGAGTTCTAATTTATCAAGAAACATATGGAATTTATATATTTTTGGTATTATGGAATTAGATAAAATTCCTCATTTCTTACAATCATCAGATATACACCTTGATGTTACAAAACTTTTACGAATAATTAAAGCACATATCTTTTATATAAGATCTAAAACTTCCAAGTCTGTTAACATGTACTATGTGCTTATGCCAGTGAGTCACATTTGTAAAATCCATTCAAATCATGATGTAACATGAAGTTCATCTAACATAATCGGTGACTAAACTATTTACTCTCTGCGAGATAGACTCAGTATATGTTGGTTTCTTACCAAACTTTTGACACATCCATATGAAAGCCAGCCACTGTACAACCATACTTTAGATGATATGTAGAAATTTACTGAGTATGATGATAGTTTTCACAACTGAGTGATGTAATATACTATACATTTAGGTTAACAATAGTAGGTATTAATCAGTTTATTTAGTTCCTGTGAATCTTTTATCTCTATTCCTATAACAACACTGTACAAATTCGATTTTTAGAAAGTTTACTATCGCATTGCAATTAATTATGATATCAGAATGTCATACGTTTAACTTAAAATTAGCTTCTTATCATGACAGTGAATGAAAGAAGTAAGATCTATAGTCAATGTTAATGAGAAAAGGTATGTAATAAACAAAATACAACAAAATCTTTTACTTCATATTGAAATTATGGAAAGAATAGATTTAAAGAAAATATGTCATTTGCACGCTGTTGTCTAAGTGTTAATCAAAATAAGCTTCGAAATGTTATTCTGAAAATTAAACTAGAGTATCATAAATATTTTCTTAGGCTCAGTTAATGTGAACAAACACTAATAGCACAATTTATTATGAACTGTCAGAAGGAGATGAGTTGTCAATAAAAAATGATTGCAATCTTAGTTTGTAAATTATATGTGAAAAAAAAGTATTTATTCAAAAGAATAAGATCTGAAAATGATAAAGTTTAATTGAATACTTTTAGTGTTGTTTTCTTCTCTAAATTAGATGGATTAATTTTAAAGCTTTCATTATGATTTCTTGACAATATAATTAATGCCTACTTTATGTAGACATCTAAATGAAATAAATTGTAATAACATTCAGAAAGGTGATCAAAGATTTAAAATCAAGTCACCTAACCTAGTAACAAAAGACAGAAGAATTAAACTAAATAAATAGGTTCAATTAACCATCATCTAAACATCAAAATTTTTAAAGAGATTAAAATTTACATACTAAAGAAACAACAAAACAAACGGATTAGATAAACAATAAAGTTTAAATAAGTAAACAATGGAACAAATGTAAAAGTAAATTAAATTTTAAGGATATAAAAAAATTTCAATGGTTAAGATCATGAGTCATTTGAAGCTAGACCACCATGGAAAACTTGGAAGCACTGGATGGCCGTTTCGTCCTATTGTGGAACTCCTCAGCAGTGCTCAACCATCCATCCTGGGTTCGAATCTTGCAGAGGGAGAGGTCGTGGATGTGCACTGCTGAGGAGTACCACAATAGGACGAGACGGCCGTCCAGTGCTTCCAGGTTTCCCATAGTGGTCTAGCTTCAATTGATTCATGATCTCAACCATTGATAATTTAAGAAAACAGAAAAAAGATGAAATGAAATGACACACCTGTTTTCATTGTTTCCTTATCAATCGTTTAAATATTTTAACAAAAAAGGTACCAATGAATTGAATATTTCCAATAAATTTAGAACGAATAGATTGAATACAAATAAATAAACTAAGTGTACGACTAACAAAAAATATTGTACGTACTAATTCAGTTGAACTTTGAATTATTTCTGCTAATTTAGTATAACCATAATTTTTAAAATCATAAAATGAAACCATATCAAGTATACTAGCTATTGTTGATTCAGCAGACCAAATAATTACAAGTAATGTTAAAATATCTTGTAAATTATGTAAATTAAAACCATTAAAATTTTTATTTGAACGTTTCCTACGAATATAATGAATTAACATTAATATATAACATGTTGTTACAACAATAGCTGGTAATATTAATAATAACGCCAAACATAGATAACCAAAAACTAATAGTTGTTGTTGATGAAATTCATCAATAGGACTTTTTCCAACAGCCACACATTCTCCATCTGAATCCATTTGTACCATAGCTGTAAATCTTAAATTGATTGCTGTAATATATATCATTGCGAAACAGTAGGATGTAAAGATAGTTCGTGGATAATCAAATATGCTTTTATTTGGATAAAATAATTGGAAACATCGTTCTACCAACATTGACATAGCATTAAACTTACAGAACATAATGAATAGATTGTACATAAATGTACTACTCCACATATGACAAAAGATCAAATTAAACCACATTTGATCTGTTTTAACGATTGGACAAAATATATACAATACACTAGCAACTGAGGCAAACCATTCACATGTCATTTGTAACATAATCATTATGCTGAGAAATTGTGTTCCCAGGTTAATATCAAATATATACAATAATAAGATTGGATTGAGGCATATACTGATAAATGAAAAGCTGAATGAAGTTATATCAATTTTGTCAGCAACCGAATTTCCATGACGCAAGATATTAATTATTCCCTGTTGTGCAGCACACATAATATTATTTGTCCGAATAAAGCAGAACTGAAAATATATATCTATAGGTGTTTCATTCTCATCTCTTCTAATTATGTAAATAGTTTATTTAAGCAGATGTTAACGTCCATACTGATTGCTAATGTTACAAAGAATATTCTCCAAATTTCCATTGATAATTTCATGAAATAAAATAAATATTTTCATGGAAAACTATTCACTTATCTTGATTTTTAATAGGATTAGTAAATACACATTTGATTGGTTATATTCGTAGATTTCTTGGGAGATACTACATTTTTATGGTTTCTTATTGGTTGAAGTGTATATTATTAAATTACTAGTTATCGTATGTTGATAGCAGTTTATTTAGTCAACTCCTACCCTAATGCAGCAAGATTTTGCTCTTTCAATTTAAAATACTACTTCACAGAACCAGAACTTGGTTGATTATTTACCCAAGTTAAAATCTATACTGATAGACTTTTTTCCTGTTTGATGAATGGATATTGAGGTTATTTACTGAAAAACTTCTAATATTAATAGTGTTTAATGATAACAGTGTGTGAAATGACATTATGTCTTAACAATGAAACCGAAGTTTTCCAAAAATGATTTATAGATTTTATCTTCATGTCACCGTATTTCCTATGAGAAGGTATCGCACAAACTACACACACTTGTAAAGAACTCTGAATAATATATGAAAGCTTTGTTTCTGTCAAAATATAATTCTACTAGATTACAGTTCTGTAAGCCTAATGCTAACTAATTCCACCTTAATATCACTGAGACATTCAAGGATAGTTAAATCTGAATAGTTTTTGATCGAAAAACCAAATTGATTAGAATTGAGGCGATCAATAAGTAAATATACGGTACACCATCGCGAAGGTACAATTATTTATAAATAGTTGTCTATGCAAGATACTCAACATCCATTGGCCGGATACCATCAGCAACAGCCTTCTCTGTGAGAGAAAAACCAGCTTCCAGCTGAAAAGGAAATTAGGAAAAGACGATGGAAATGGATAGGACATAAATTACGCAAATCATCAAACTGTATCACGAGACAAGCCCTGGCTTGGAATCCTGAAGGGAAGCGAAAAAGAGGAAGGCCAAAGAACACATTACGTCGGGGAATAAAAGCAGATATGGAAAAGATGAATAACAAATGGAAGGAGCTGGAAAGGATTGCTTGGGACAGGGTTGGATGAAGAGTGCTGGTGAACGGCCTATGCTCCTTCACGAGGAGCAACAGGCGTAAGTAATTAAGTAACATTTCTATCTCACAGCAGATTTTCTGCTAAGAACTAACTTCTCTATCTTGATAAATTTTTTATTTTTCAGAAATGTAGAGCGTTTTAAAGACACTTTGTATAAATATAAAAAGGCAGATACAGAATATAATTACTGTAAAAATGAATTTATATATCATTCTGATATGACGGGAAAAAAGTCAAAATTCGATTGATTTACTCATCATGAGTTTTGTTCAGCTTTACTTCCGTTTTGATTTAATGTGATGATTATTCAGTGTAGTACTCGGTTTTGTTTTCCCTTATGATATTTTATCTTGTATCATACACGATATTCTTGTATTAAGTTAATATGAACCATACTGAGCATATGATTTGTCATAACTATTTTTCATATATATGGTTTCATCCCAACTATTAATCATAGTGTGTTTACAATCAATATAAATGAATGTATTTTCTAGTAGGGTCGTCGTCGTGTTTTGGGGTTAATAAATCTTCACTTATACCAGTCTTTGTGTTCTTACTTTCGAGTCGTGGGAATTACAGAAGTCCCTCGTTTCTAGCATAAGTGATAAGCGTTTCCGACACAACAATCAGCAACGACCAGATATAACAAGTAGCATTCAATCGACAAGATATATCATATTCATATGAATATTCATAAGATCACAGTTTAGAACAATTCCATCATCCTTTTTGAGCATTCTCATCATTCCAAATTAATTAGAATAAGTTTCTTGTTTACTCGAAATGTATTTTGTCCTATCACACTTTTATACGTAGAAATTCAGAGTAAAAGTATCAATCTTTTACCAAATATAACATCAAATAAACTGTCCAAATAAATCATTGTAGGTCCTGGGTTCGAATCTCGCAGGGGGCGAGGTCGTGGATGCGCACTGCTGAGGAGTCCCACAATAGGACGAAACGGCCGTCCTATGCTTCCAGGTTTTCCATGGTGGTCTAGCTTCAACTGACTCATGATCTTAACCATTAAAATATGAATGTTTACTAAATTTTTCAGCAACTTAAGTATGTAACCTCTGAAGTTCAATTTCAATACTTAATTCAAATGAATTACATAACACTGGTAATCACCTTTCAAGGTTATGTCAACTCGAAGCACATATACATTAAACAGATAATTTTATGATTTTTCTGTCAACTTTTGAACAGATTACTTCGGTTATAAAATCATTACATAATGTTACTTTTATCATATAACTGAACACGGGATTTCACAAATTGACGTTTATTTACTTGTTTAATATCTTAACGATACTAAAGTAGCAAGTTGTTATTAGTACCATGATGAACTTACCCTTGAAGATTAATAAATTTTAAACTACTAAATCTTAACATTCAAATGTATATATAAGTATTGACAAATGGTAAATCTTAACTAATATCTTTTCATTGACTGTCACCAAATATTTTACAGTCTGATAGGGGTTTTGTGGAGATTGTAGTAAGTTAAAAGTTGAATTCATGAGTCAATCGAAGCTAGACCACCATGAAAAACCTGGAATCGTTGGATGGCCGCATTCACGATGCCGCGCCGCGAGATTCGAACCCAGGACCCATCGAATATTAAAACCGTTGGATGTCAACTCAGTTGTCTAGAGGTTAAGCGTACGGGCGCGTGACCGATAGGTCCTGGGTTCTAATATCTCTGAGCAGGATCGTGGATGCACACTACTGAGGAGTCTCATACTAAGATGAAACAGCCATCTAGTGGCTCATTAATTCAACTACTATATTTTACAGTCTTTTAATCTTTTAATGAAATCATATTAATTTTTTTCAAGTATTAAATATACGTTTATTTTTAAGGAAAAAAGAAGACAACAGAAAATGAAGCACCAATCTGGCAACGAAATTATTTACTGCCTACTCATCCATTAAATCATTCAGTCTAAACACGTTAATATAAATTGATTGCTCTTCTAATAATTTGAAAATATCCACGTGATCTAGAATGTGTACACAAGTGCATAGTGACCTTGAAATTTATAATATTAAAGAAAAAAATTGCTATGCATTTTATATATTCATTTTATTTTCAAAGTATAATCTGAATCATACGTGTGTGCACGCATGCACTTTCTTGAATATATATATATATATATATATATATATATATATATATATATATATATATATATATATATATATATATATATATAATGTATGTATGTATGTGTGTACGATGAAAGCACTTATAAAGACGTTATCATTGATTTTTACAATAACTTTCCTTTGTTTTAATTTTAAAATAGAAAGAAAAGAGAGAGTATTCACTAATGATTTATATTGAAAAATTTCAGGTAAATATTGGTGTATTTGAAATCTTTTTTTTTGTTGATCAATTTAGTTAAACAATTTAAAGTTTTAATGAAAAAAACTAGATGAACATTTAATCATAACTTGATATCGTTCATGAACATGGTTTATTTCAAGATTGTGGTGGAGTTTTGTTCTCTGAGCTACAAATCTTCTCCACCATCTTATTTCAAGATTGAATAGGATATTGAATAGTGTCAATTTCTTGAAGAATATAATTCTTGATGATTATTTAAACATTGATAAATTATAAAATGGAAATAGTACAATTTTAAAAATTTCACTGGTTGAAATCATGAGTCAATTGAAGCTTAGACTACCATGGAAAACCTGGACGGCCGTTTCATCCTAGTATGGGACTCCTCAGTAGTGCGCATCCACGATTGATTCATGATTTCAACTAGTGAACTTTCTAAAAATCTCCACAAAAACCATTCTGAGTACAATTTTAAGTTGACTAAATAGCGAAAAAAAATAAAATAAAATTTAGCATATTTCAAACCGAATGGATTAAAGCTATTCTATTCATCTTAAGATATAATGATGATTACGTTGTACTATAGAGATAATATACATATATAGTTAACAATTTCAAACTACGACAAAATAATTGTTCATTTTTTATCAGTTTACTAGTATTTACTAAATGTAAATTTCTACAATAAACTAACTTTTTATTTGATTAATTCATTGAAATATATAATTTTGAACATGATGTTATTTCTAAACAATTATCTCTAATTGAATTCAATATTTACCTTTTTCAGTAAATACAATAAAAGATTTTATAAAAAACAAACTAACAATAAATGGAGCAATTAATCGAATTATTTTTTGAATTGGATAAAGATAACAATGAAATTGTTGATAAACAAGAACTTATCAATTATTGTCAAGAGAATAAATTGGATATGGAAATGGTTAATGTGAGTTATTGATTTAAATTGTTTTGTCTTGTGAATAACGATACTTATATGTGTGTAATTTTTTCTGGCTCTTCAGTGCTAAACAATGTAATTTGAGTAGATGAAGAGATATAGAGCGGTAGCGAATTTAAGCGTATAGTCTTAATTTAAAATAGATCAGTTGTGGAGTCGATAGATTAATTATTACACCAGTTATTCAATTATTATTATTATTATTATTATTATTATTATTAGCTTTATTTAAAATTATATTTTTGGTGCAGTTTAGAATCTTCAGCACAAAGTATTTCAACAAGTTTCTGTTTCTTTATTCTTGATCGATACTGGCGATAAATATTGAGTGATCGCCATTTAGATGTTAACAGTTCAGTCAATTGACATCTGAACGATATTGATTCTTTTCTCTATATATTGCCAGCAACCACGATATCTCTGATTGGGCCTTTTGTAACCTGAAAAGGTTATGCCATTAATAAACATAATGATGTATTAAAACAAACAAAAATAGATACCTTGTAGAAATATCTAGATGGCAGGAACAGGTAGCTCAGATGTCCAAACAGGCCGACACCTTTACAACTCGTAGATGAGTTGTCTGAAGTCTGAACATCCATTTAATTTTA